CCATGTCCTGCTAACGAGTGGGCAAAGCATGAAAACTTTCCGAACTGTTCATTATGTCAGACGTGCTTTACGCCAGAGGACTGTGAGTATTTTTGCTTAAGCCTCATTCATGCTAGCGACATTGTGATAATGACATAAACATGGCGACATAAGAAGGACGTTATGTCGTTATGATTGCAGTGACATAATGACAAAATAGCAAAATAGTAGCATGGGCATAACAACATAATAGAAAAAAAAAATGATCTTTTCCTTAAGTCTTTATCCCGATGTTCACTTTGCCGACACAAGCGATTATCTCGTTATGTTATTATGTCGTGATGTCGCTAGTGTGAACCTGGCTTTATTAAACACTTTTAAGACCCAAAACTAGACATATCAATTCTGTAAGCGTAAGGGGAACTCTGTTTGAAAGCCACTATATTCCTACTGCCCTTGTCTTGGATGCTAGTCCAATGCACGGTCTCCTCACACGCTTTGTCGGGTTACCTTGACATTTCGCCAGTACGCACTTCATATGCGCCTGGACGGGAAGAGTCACTATGGATGAAGTATCATGGCAGGAATTACTGAAGAACACTAAGCAATTGCTTGTAAATTAGTTTGGGGTACCCATGGTCAGTATCCAAAGTTTATTTTAAGACACTATGAGTTGGATAGGTCCTGGTTTTTAACCCTTATTATTTGAGGACTCCTTGTCGAAAATGTTCAAGTCCACCATTTTCTTTCGCTCCGGATAATGTTGTTATATTATTTTTCCCTTGTCATTACTTTGTACTTTTCCCCGTCTCCTGACCTTTTTACCTCTACCCTGTCAGTGTTCCATTATTTCAGTTTCTTCAGCTAACGACTGTTGGTGTCTTTTGTAACAAAATCTTATTTAACTTTTTCGCCTTAAGGTCCGTGCTTATCAAACGGCACTTGCTTTCCCGGTGTGAGTTGCCTCAATGTTGGGGTTGGTCTGGCAACATGTGGACCTTGTCCAAAAGGTTATAAAGGAGATGGAAGAACCTGTGATGACATCGACGAGGTAGGCAGAGGGGAGTTATTAGGCTAGATAACCTTCTCTCGTCTAGCCCAGAGATTTTGGACAGCAGAGCGGAACTTTTGAGATTCCAGCCAAACATTTCGAGTGATTTCAGTGACGACTTAGCACCACATAGATCAGTGCAGTAACGATTGATTGAAATGAAACTGATAACCTACCAGACCTTACATGGAACAGTGTAGTTTTGCTTCAGCCCTATGTAAAGCAGAGATAAAGAGCCTAAACAGAGATAAAGGCTTCTTGGTAGGGGAGGGAAGGGTGTGGTCTGTGTCATAACTTACTAATTTCCATTAGGTGAGGGGACGTGTGGGTTTTTGTGAAGTGAAAACAAGTGTAAAACCATCCCCACCCCTGTTGCTTGTCTGTCTCAGGAACAGTCATTGAATAAGTCTCCTCCTTGAATCCTCCCCAGCGAGCGATTCGTTGCATAATCTATATCATTAGTCATTCAACCTTATCATTGTTGTGTTTGACAATATTCCACAGTGCGCCCGCGCCAATCCCTGCTATGAAAGCGACAAGTGTGAGAACCGTGTTCCTGGTTATCAGTGTGCCGCATGTCCTGATGGCTTCAGAGGGAATGCTCCGTCTGGGGTTGGTCTGGAAGACGCTCAGAACTCCAAACAAGTCTGTGAGGAGATCGACGAGTGTAAGGAAGGCATTAGCAGCTGTGATCCAAATTCACAGTGTATCAACACAAACGTGAGTCACAATGCACCGGTTATTGTTTAACTGTGTGTAATATGATCGATGAAGACGCATTTCGAAGAGGATACACAACATAGTAAATGGTTTAAACTTAGGAGTATCAGTAGTTCGTATAGTGTGTTCGTCCGGGTGAGGGTAGTTCTGAAAAGAACTGTTGTTGGTAATACACAACCTTCGTTTCCTCTTCTCAATGGGGCCATATCATCACCCACAAGCACCCACTCTTTCGCTAGAATTCAAATAATATTCTATTCCCATGCGTCCGCAGCCCATGGGCGTGGTATCGGCCGATATACATGACCGACTTCCGCTTGGCGCCCCGCCGCCCTACCCACTGGTAGAGCGTAGACTGGTGTTTTGTGGGGTCTCGTTCCCGTTCCCGGACTTTCATCTTTCCGCAACTTATTCTAGCCTGGGGCGTTTGGGAGTGACTTCTCCCAGTGGGGATATATTGTATCAATGTTACGTCCCTTTTGCTGCCATCTCTGTCATAAAATTACTGCCAAATATGTCCCAGTGTTAGGCAAATACTCAGTGATTTTATCGATTTGACCAGCAACTATAAAGTCTCTGATATAGACATCAGAAGCTAATACGAAATACAAGCAACTCTTTCCTTTTCACTCATCTTCTTAGGTAACTTTTAATCAACTAGCTACCAATATTAAGGTAGACGAGCGGAGAGAAGCTATTTCGTCACCGGTCGAGTGGACGTCTGAAGAAGCTTAACCAAAGCCTGTTTATTTGGTAATCTAATGATATTATTTACCTGTTTATTTGTTCTTTTTTTTATTTTTATTTACAGGTAAGTTTTCTATGTGGCCCATGTCATCCCGGATTCATAGGTGATGGCTACACAGGCTGTCATCCTGGTGACCTCTGCACCAATGGTTCCCATACTTGCCACGAAAATGCACAGTGCGCCCAAACTGGTGCGGGAAGATTCAAATGCAGGGTATGACAGCGTAAATGGTTTACTTTTACTTGTCCTTTGCTAATT